TGTGTGTGTGTGTGTGTGTGTGTGTGTGTGTGTGTGTGTGTGTGTTCCGTTTGCACTGTTATTTGTTTAGTTTGTCAGTTTCCCTGTCTGAATCACAAACTCACAACTCTCTCCTCATAATTGAATTAGATACTGGCAGTTTTTTTTATTTCTCATAACACAGCATATTCAGGTTTTTACAGCATTTCCTCTGTATGAGTGATGCATATGTTAAGAGAACTATTTCTTCACATTCAGCAACAGAAATTATGTGTCTGATTTTGTTTTCTGATACTGGTAGGCTGCCAGAAATAACTGTATATGTATTTAAATAATAGAAAATGAAGAAATGTAAGAGCAGCAGATTGGATTTGGTCACTTTTCTTATTATGAACGGAGCAATCTGCCTCAGTCTTACATGTTTGTGTCTTGTATTTCCTTAAAAAAGTAAAACTCTACTGAATGTGAGTTTCTAAAAGAATGTTTTCTGACCAAGAGACCATTGAAACTTACTGTGTCTCTCTCTGCAGACTATGAGTAGATGCAACAACATAGGTAGGGTCTTAAAAAGTCTAAAATTCAATCTGAATTTTAGGCCTTGAATACTTCAAAATATGGTCATAAATAGAACCTTATAAGTCAACATTCATTTAACGTCCATCGCACTTTAAAAATAATTTCTTAAGAGAAATGTTTTGGCGGCATCAGTGTCTTTGTTGTAGTTCTTTCTAGATACAGATATTCACATGATGGAATAAAACTACAGATGTGACCTGCTGTATGTGGAACTGAGTCTACTAACACCTCAATCAGAACTGATCTCAGTCCACTGGGTTTGGCTTTGGTAAAGTCATTGAGGGTTTTTTTTTCTAATAGGCTAATTCACCCTATTTTCAATTAAGGTGAAATGTAAGACTGTGTGTGAGACTCATGGCCTCAGATGACTGTGACCAAGTGTCTGAATGTGAGTCTTGAAATTCATTCAATATGGCTTTAAAAAGTCCTAAGTTATTTGAAACTAAGCAGAAAACCTGTTATTGCAGCATTATACATTTAGAGGTTTAGCTACACTAACTGAGAGAACAGTAAAATATTAATTTGCAACTGATTGCATAAAATATATATATGCCAGATACAGTAACCACCTGACATAGACATCAGTGATGTTTCATGTGATGGTGAGCTTGTTTTTAAGGAAGGACGTCAATATTTCATACTTTTGAAATGACCTAAAGTGACAGATTAATTATGATTTCTCTCCCCTCCTCAGAGCATTGTGGCCAAATACGGCTCTCAGTTTCGTGGAAACTCTCAGCACGACGCCCTGGAGTTCCTCCTCTGGCTTCTGGACAGTGTTCACGAAGATGCCAGTTCCAGCCTCAACAACAACAACAGCAGCAGCAGCAACAGCAACAGCAAGGCCAAAGCCATCGCCAAGGTGAGTGCACAGTGCTGGAGATCACTGCCCTGACTGGTTTAAAATGTTGATGTGATGAGTGACTGGGCTCAAGGATTCCTCATAAAACATAATTCTTCTTCTGCTGGTTTGTTTTTGATATTTTATTAATTTCTTGTAATTATGTCTGACCTGATCTGTGGGTGTAACGCACGGGCACGCACACTTCCCCAACTAAAGCTTTCTGTCTTTACTGCCTGCACAAATTATTTTACAGACACCTTGCAAGACAGCAGATGCCATTAAGATCCAGCTTAAGTTGCAGAACCATGTGAGACCATTGTTGGATTGTATGATGGCAGACACCCCCCTGCCTATTTATTCCATTCTAGTCAAAGAATTCACTTCTTTTCACTTCTTATGTTTGGAAAAGAAGAGTTTTTTTCAGTGGGTACTCCAGATATGACAGTAACTCCAAATGTAGGTCTTGGTCTGACATGAACCATGAGTGCTGTGACTCCTGCAGTGGGGAGGAGGCATGTGGCTGTTCCCTGTCTCTGTCCCTGATACGGGACATTCACCTGGCAACCTTTTACTTGGGACTGAGCCAGGACTGGACTTGGCTTGGTGAGAGCGAATGAAGGGCAGACACATCATGACTGAGCTGATGAGTTTTTATCATGACTGGAGCGACATGAACACTTGCCAAGGAAAAAAAAGCCAGTCAAATCTTGTCTTGTCTTTTCCTCTGTTTGCTGTTTATTCTCTCTGACAATAAGACGATCCACTCATTTCATATCTGCCCTTTACTAACTGTCTGTTCCCTGTTACTCGTTATTGGAGTTGATACGCAAAGTAGCAGAAACTTACAATAATATGTATTGTCCTGAAGATGCAGTGATGAGTGTGAGAAAGTTGTAAATTAAAATATTTTAGTTTATTATGCTAGAAATCAAATGCTCACTTATATATGTTTTTTTTTTCATGAATTTCAATTTCTTCAGTGATGTTTGTCTTACCTGAAGTCGGAAGGAGTTCTCTGGTATTAAAACACGTGTTTGTGTGCACATTACAATATAAAATACTTAATGTGGACACCTGCTGTGATCCACTCCTACTGTGACTAACCCTTTGAGTTTAGTTACATTTATGAAGTATCGTCTTGATTCTCCTCATTTTACAAGACTTCTGGTTAGAGCTGCTGGTTCTGCCTCCTGTCAGCCCTACATCCCCATTAGTTAATGTGGTGAGCTGAATTGTCACTGTGCTGCCGCCCAGCTCCCCCTCTGACAGCAGCACTAATAGAGGCAGCCTTTATGCCACATAAAGAGCTTAGGGCTGTGGCTCTCATTAGACTGCCAGTGAATCATGGTATCATAAAGCCGGCTTTCCTCGGTGGCTGCTACGAGGCAGAGAAGAAGAAAACCACTGGCTTTTTCACACCAGGAGGGAACATGTCTGATTTTCTGAAATGAAAGGCTCGCCCCCTTTTTCCCACAAATTGATTTCATTCTTGTAGCACAGTGCGCTCTTGCTTATACTGCTGATGTAATATGAAAACCTTGGAGCTCCAGCTTTGGAGATTACACGCTCCTCTATGGGTTTAGAAAAGCGAGTAACCTCATCTGTGCATCTTCAGAAGCAGTTATAAAAAGCATTCAAACACAATGACACACACAACTGCCTGGTCTGCTGACTGTTTGGATGCTTCACTCAGTCTGTTGTAGTGGTGCATACAGTTGGCTGAAACCAGGTTCATTTTTTAAGGTGCTTTTACAACCTACTGTGTGTGGTGAGGACCCTCTGACTTTTCAGGTTAGTCCAAACTAAAATAACAGGTGGTTTGGACCAGTTTTAGTCAAAAATAGTTGGTCTTTGTCCACTGCAAAATGACACGGTTCATTAATTTTCTTCATTCAGAAAGGCCTCTCCCTGCCGAATCACAGAATGCCAACATCAGTCACACGCCCATCTACAAACCAATCAATGTCGAGTGTAGGTAGGCGCAGCCCATGTAGCTGATGATGGCAGGGCGTCATACAAAAGGCTTTATTCCGCTCTGTAAATTGGAAAAGTGAAACCAAACCTATGTGACAAAGACACAAACCTTGGTTTGGACCTTGTTCCAAACATTCAGTTGTGAAAATGCACTTAAACTGTAACTGACTTGTCTTTATCTCCTACTCTGTGATAAGTGGTTAGACATTCAACACTGAATTCAATCCCTGACCTGGACGACACATGATGCAGCTGTCAGTATTGTTATTTCTTTGTTATTGTTGTTATTGTTATTCTGCTCGCTCTCTTTCCCTTGAAGTTTCAAAGCCGTACAGTTTGTGATCCGTGTCTGACGCAGGAGGTGGCTGACATTCGTTGACCCTCTCAGTCAAACTGGAAATGAGGTATTAGACAAGAAATCCAAATATTTAGGGACAGGAATTAAAAAAAAGAAAGAAAGAAAGACCCTGATTCCTCACTCTGCTTATCCTTCATCAAAAAGTTTTTGCAGAAGTCCTCCTGTTCATGTTCAAACTGTAGGTGAAAGACTGTGGATCCTGTACCAGTCGGATGACAATAGAAGTCTTCTGGCAGGGCAGCAGGACAGACGTAAAGTAAGACGGGAGTGGTGGCTCAGTCGGGCAGTCGAGGGAGAGGGAGGCTGGAAAGTGACTTTGATTTCTTTGTCTGTCACCGAAGCCTCAGGAACAGACGTCTAGGATGACACAGGTCATGCTGAGCTGACAGAAAGTTACCAGCGTCAACAGTGAAGCTGTCTATTTCACAGACATTTAGTGAATGGCACCTTGGCCTTCACCTCATCCTCACACTGACCCACCCACACTGACTTCTGTTTCTTATGCAAACTCCTGACAAGTCTGACCAATTTAAAATGGATCACGATTGGTCGAATGTGTGTCTCAGTGGGACCTCGATGCTGTGGCTTCTTCCCAGAGCACTACTCTATAGACTTTGGCTCCATATGTGCATGATGGCAGACTCCATTACTTTGTTTTGTGACTCTGCTCGTGCTGCTGAAATGTGAAAATGAACCGAATGGGTTAAACTTGTATTTAAAAGGATTAAATAGACAATGTGGCCAGTGGACAAGTTATGTAACTGGAGTGTGTCTGTATGAACCTGTAACACTGATAACAGCTGCAGCCCTTATTTTACAACATATGCATCGCCTTCCTCTGCCACACTGTCTTCACAATTTAACACCCTCCGTCTCTAATGTTCGATATTTTTGCTGCCCCGTTATTCTCGGGTGTAATGAGTTCCTCTTAGCGCAAATGCACATTCACGTTTGTGTTTTACTATTTCACTCAAGGCTACATGGTACATTGACTGTCAGGAAAACGTGAACATATGTTGTTTAGTTATGCAGTTTTAGTGCATCTTAAACACACTGGTTCATCTCAGGGTTGCAGTATTTTCAGAGCAACTTGTGAGGTAGATGTATTGTATATGTTGGATGAAAAGAAATGTCACATTGATTTTAACTAGATACTGACATAGTACGGACATAGCTGTGTTATATATGGTCTGGATCTGTGGTGTTTTGGACTGCATTATATCGTAATTGTATATATACACAACTTTGCAGGAAGCTGAATAGTCATGGTTACCTTCACTAAGGAGGTTGTTTTTATCTGTGTTTGTTAGTTACCAAGGTTACCGAAGGAATTACCTTCAAACTTGGTGGAAATGATGTGTTCTGAGTCAGGGAAGAAGCCTTTATATTTTGGTGCGGATCCTAATAAAGGGGCGGATCCAGGATTTTTCTCTTTAAAGTTTAGAGAGAATTTTTTCAATATTTTCACAGATTTCTCAGAGAATATTTCATGAACTTGATGATATTAATGACTTTTCTAGTTTTGGTCCACATGCAAATAAAGATCTGGATCTGGTGAAGTTAAACATGGTTTCATTCGGGGACTGTTGGATCTGGGCGGAGGTATGTGCTTTACTCAGTTCCATCCTATGAAGACATGCAGAAAGGGCCACCAGGGTCACAATCCTTGTTTGTGCAGCGCACCTGATCTACGAGCAGCGTGACCAGTCCAGCGGCTTCACCCAAGTGACATTACATAACACAAGAGTGAACACACGAAGGCAGCTCAGTAATGTTAATCCTGCTTCCAATGGGACCTCGGTAAACTTGCTTCTCGCTTCACTGGCATCACATCAGCAGCATACTTCACCGGCCATGAGGGGACCACATTAAAGTCGTGGTGTTGTGCACCATTACGTCTCAAATCATTATTCTTTTTTCACTGTCAGTGATAGATGAGCGGCAGTTGCGAGAGTCATTCAAGTATATAAGAAAAACAAGCATTTACTGAAAAGCTTGAATCACATGTTGCCAAAATGGTAGATTTGGTCTTTCAGCAAGTGCTTGAAAAGACGGAGGAAAAGTTTCATCTTTCATCTCACCCTATATGGATAATGGTGGCGTAGGAGGTTTGCCAATGCAACTCCAATGCTAAAGTATTATATATGCATTATTCTATTTTAAATAGTGGTCTGCTTTTTTGCCCCAGGAGGGAGACTTTGAAAATCAGTCAGTTGCAATCTTCCACTACAAGTACCCACTGCAATAGCCCCTGAAGAGCAGGCTTGAGTAGGGGAGATTGGATAAGGCAGTTAGAGAGAATCACAAATTATAGAACTTGAGAGATGGAGGTAAAACACAAGAAGTCAGTGAGCGGACAATAGACGCAAAAAACACTTGGGGTAAGTGTTTTCAAAATAAAATAGGAAATAACTACAAAGAATCCAAGTGGGATGTCACAGATGTTGTCCAGGGTGCCAGATGTAAATGATGGAGATGAATCAGCCAACATGCAGGTTGGCAGAAAGGTTTATGGTCCTTTATAGCGTCTCCATCATCTGTGCCAGTCATCAGGAAACTAATGATCTGATATCATATATACCTTCCTGGTTTTAGACAAAAACATTATTACAATTGATGTAAAGTTTGAACCGGTCTGTTGGCTCTGCTCATTTTAACGAAAACTGTGACAATGAGTTTAGAACTT